TTATTATGTAAACTGGTGTAAACTGAACATGGAAATTCTGCTTATGTCTAAATATTTCATACAGTATTTTTGTTAAAAAGCAGATATGTCTATATGATTTTTTTCAATAGACTTGCGATATTAAATGAGTTTATAAGGAACTAATTTTATAGTCCAAATGCTAAGGCAAGCTTGAGGGAGAAGAGAATAATTTGACAGATGAACAGAAGTTGAAATAATTTTTGAGGTCACAGAAATCCCACTTACAAGTCTGTTTGTAGAGTGAATAAAATAAATAGAAGCAAAATTTACTCCTCCTATAACACTTATTTTATTTCTATTGTATTTTTGGACAAATGCCACCGTTTCATAGTGCAAACCTCCATGTCCTATTTTTTAAGGTGAATAGTTTTGAATTGTCTCACATATTTGTGCTATTTTTGATTTATTAGGGTTTTTTTTACTAAAAAAAAAATAATTTACTTTGCCTTTGGACAAAATTTTATTAAATTGATTGATCTAAAATTATACGGTAAGAGTCAGGCCTCAGCCATACCATATATACACAATATATAGAACCATTAAACTTTGTCTTTTTAGTGTTGATTGTTGACTCTGTCCTTATGTAATCCTGAACTCTGCCAACAAAATCCTGAATGTAGCACAGCCCAAGAGGGAGAGTCAAGCTTACCCCTTTCCGTGGTGATAAAAATGCTCTATTTCTTCTGCTGCTTCCAAATGGGAGTCCAGCCAGGCCTTATCAGTCATCAAATTATACATAATTGAGGTCAGGGTGTGGATTTGTTCGTGATTTTTTTTTTTTTTTTAACCAAGTCATCGGTTCCTCAAGGCTCCTGTAGGCATCCCACCAGTTCTTTAGTATCTACACAACGTTATGGAAGTAAATAAAGGAACTCAAAGTGAGCTACTGGGGAAAGAATCATGGTTACTACTTCGAGTAACTGTGTTGGTTTGCAGCATGAAATTGTTTAATCAGGTGGCTTATTCATCTGGCCCACTGTTAAAATCTCTGTGCCATGTTTGCTTGCCAATTAATGTCACTTTAATTTTCATACCTTCTACTGTCTAAATGAAAATCTTACTTGCAGCCCTTCTCTACAAGGTGTAGCTTTGATCTCTTCAGCTTTGGCATGTTCAACCTCTTTCTTTTTTTCTTCCCTTTTTCCCTCTCTGTATTTCTATTGTGTTTTAGAAATATCACCCATTTATTAGCTTCTGAAAGTGCACAAGTCTAGCCACATACAACGTAACTGGCAAAATGCTGTTGTCAAATCCACCTGCTGTGTCTTAGTCCATAAAAATAATCCTTCATTACTTCAGTCTGTGGCAGGAAGGGAAAAAGCAAGGGATAATGGAGGAGTGAATTCCTGTAACTACCTAAGGAATGCAGAAGAAATAATAATGCATGAAACAAGTGATACGGGGAGAAAGTGAAGTTGCTGATGTTGGTTTGAGGATGGGAAGTTAAGCTTTCCTGTGCTTGCTGTTGTAGTGTACAGCTAGATTAATGTCTCTTCAGTTTGTCCATTTCCTGGTGATAAAGGTACCCCACTATGTGGCACCAAAAACAAAAAAACAAATAAACAAACAAATACCTTTTAGAAAGGTTAGAGTGGAAATACCTAATTTTTAATTTGATTAACTAATGCTATTTTTCTGTGCAAAGTTTGTATTTTAGAAGGCAGGTTTTTGAATCATTGTGCAGGAAAGTCATAGAATGGTTTGGGCTAGAAGGAAAGAGGACATCTAATCCAACCCCTCCTGCAATAGGCAGGGACACCTTTGACTAGAGCAGGTTGCTCTGAGCAACCAGATATGTATTGAGAGGTGAAGGAACAGTGAGGTAGTAACAGTATTACTTTTCCTGCTCCTGAAGTTCAGCTTTGAATTGTCTTCAATTAATTAGTAGCTCCTACATGCACAGTGACATGCACAGAGGTTTTTGTGGTAACCATCAAATCTTTGTGAAGCAATTCTGAATCTGAAATCTGCAAATGCTTACATAAACTGTAATATGATTTTATATTTTTTCCCCACTCTATTCATCCTATTTGCAGACTTTCAGGTCTGAAAACACCTAATTTTCTCAATGGATTTAGTTAAGGGAGTTCTAATCTGTATGAAACACAAGCTGTTTTGCTGTTTTTTATTTTTTGTTTTGTTTTGTTTTTTTACATTTAGTAGTAGGAAGAATAATTGGAGATGTTTCTCTAAATTCTGAGATTAGCCAGAGAGAAGCAAAGGGGAGGAGGGAATGCATTGGGTAAACAAGGAAGAAGAGTATGAGAAGAGAAGTTGATTTTATTTCTCTAATCTAGAAGCTGGATAATGCTTGTTTTTGCTCAGTAATGTTTTGTGACTCCCCAGTGTTTTCATCTCCCCAATGTTTTTTTATCTCCAGTGTATTGGTCTTATTTTAATTGATCATGTGATCATTTTCTTGATCACTTTGCTAGAAGTCCTGCATGGTCAGGCACATAACTATCCATTTTATCACAGTCTAATCTTACTGAAGCATGAGAAAAATGAAGTACCATGAAATGTGTATTTTGGATAGACTGAGCAGGTGACCCTTCCCAGACCTCTAGACTTGTAAAGTATCTTAAGTGAAAACTTACATACTTACATTGAATAAACATGTACATATAATTTTATAATTATATAGTTATATAACATATATATATATATATATAATGTATATAACATATATATAACATAATTATATAATATATAGTTATGTGATTCTATGTAAGTGTATATATAATATAGACTTTCCTAGAATTGTTCACCTGAATTTGGAAATGGACATGCACTGTGTATTACAACGTTAATGATTATTTACAAATTATAATATGCTGGCTTTATTCTTTGCACCTTCTTGAGAAGACTGTTGTTGCAGTATGCTTTTTGAGACTGCCTCAATTTATCTCTGTACAAAAGCAGAAATCTTGTTTTTCTCTTACAACATGCTGGTCATGTTTGCCCTGTGATCTTGAAAATACAGTGTGAAGTACAAACATCAGAAGTAATGGAAACATTTGCTCCACCCCAGGTTGTTAATCTACCGAAAGCACTCATGAGTTCATGTTTTATTTGAGTTACACTGGCCTCACCTCTTGCCATGTAGCCAGGTTCCAGCCTGGGGAAGCCTTCCAGCCACAGAAGAAATGCATGTTCAAAACTCCTGCAAGCAGTTTGACAATTTTAGTACTGTAACAGTCAGAGAAAATTCACATGCCAAGAACTTTTCAAAATATCCTGAGATCTTAGGGCTTCACCTTCTCCTATCCTTTCACGCTCAGGGTCTTGACTATTATCTTAATTTTCTGAAAAGAGAAGGGAGTTCTCTTCTAAAAGAGAAGTTTAGAGTCTGTTGCATTCTATACATTTCCTTTTGTTCCCAGAGAGACAGGTATTTCTGGACAGCCTTCTGATGAATGATGTCACTTCAGACTCTCCAAGGTTGTACCTGCTACATCTTCACCAAAGCCAGATGTTGCTGCAGGCTGTCTCAGAAAGCACTAATCCAGACATTCAGCTGTCAAAATCTCATTCTTGGAATCTTCCTTCTTGCCTGGAGAACATACTACAGGAGTATTCTTCTCTTCGAAAAATGGAGGTCTATCATCTTCTAGTCAACGGAGCCTGGGCAAAAACCTGGCTGACTTGCTGCTATGCACTTCACTTGGTCTGAGCTGAATTTCTCTCTAAACTTCATTGATGTAACTTCAAAATGCATTTAGTCCTCACCTTCTTGGTTTTGGGTGGAAATGTTGCCCAGAGTGAAGAGATGAATGAGTATTCAGAGAATGTAAATTTAAAAAATAGTCCACTTTCGACTGAATGTGTTTTCTTTATGCACAGTCTTTTTTATACGTTTGTGAATTTAGGAACAGTAGAATTTGATGGAAATGCTGCCACTATTTTTTTTCAGAGATGTGATGTGAGACTAGATGCATCTTTGATCTGGCAATATAATGTGTTACCTGGATGGTTTGGTTCTGATAAACTTGGAAATAGTGAGTGTTGTTATGACCAGACCAGGAAACAAGAATACTTTAAGTAGCTCTGAGGGATTTTAGTAGATGGAACAATCAAGACTAATTCCTGTCTCTTTAACTTCACTAGGGCTTCTTTTTTTGCAAATCTACAAGTGAAACATTACTATTCTTGCATAAAATGGTATTTATAATGTTGGAAAATACTAATAATTTATAATACTCAATTCTGTCTAGTTGTTAACTAGTGACAGCAGATCTGGTGGATCAAAATGGAATAAACACACTTCTGTAGACTTTATGATCTCATTGGTTTGGAGAGTAGATTTCAAGATTTTGTATGTTTGATACTCTGAAGCTTTATAAAGTAAACATAACTTATCTCTAATCTGTGCTTTTTCCTCAGTTGAAATACGTGAGTGTCTTATGTTAGATCATATTGGAAAGAAAATCCTGATAAAACCTTCAACAGGAAGTAGATCTGTAAAGGAAATTTCTTGGTCTGAAACAGAATTTTGTTCACTTTCAGAACATGCCACATGTTTAGCTCTGTAAGAGAAGAGTCCTGAAGAGATGTGAAATTTTTAATGTTCATGAGTCAGCAGTTGCCAGTTGCTCTGCTGTTTGAAGGACAGCAGAGTTGATGGTGGTGTAGAGAAGAGCAATTAGAGTGGTCAATGATGGGGCGACTACCCTGAGGAGAGACTAAGAAGGCTGAGACTCCTGAAAGAGTGGAGCAGGCTGGGGGCTTTGATTATTTGTAAAAGCATGAAGGTAGTAGATAAGTTGAATGCATTAGGTATTCACTAGAACTTGTGAGACTTGAGCTAGGAGGCATTCAGTGTAACTAGTAGATTAATTTAAAATAGAGCACATATTTCTTTAAGGAGGAGGTGAACTGCTGCTGCAGGAATTCCAATGGCAGAGTATCAGCAGATTTAAAAAGGCAAATCTATAAATAAATAGTGACAGGAACAACTAAGGATGTGAAACACCCCTGCTGTTACCAGTGTGGATTCTGAACTCATGCAAGAGAAAGAGATAACGTACAGGAATCAGGCTTGTGTGTTTTATTAATTGGTATCTTCAGTTAAAACTATCAGAAACAAAATGTGGATCTGATGCAGAAGATAACTTCTTATATTCATTTGTTCTGAGTTAGTTTGATTTACTTTGTATTTGTAAAGAACCACTTTTCCCATACAAATGATACTGGGTTTTTTTTTATATGAGATATCCTAAACTGACCATTATTTCTTTCATGTTTTACAGTGAACAACCCTATACCTTCCAACCTGAAGTCAGAAGCTAAAAAGGCAGCTAAAATACTACGAGAATTTACAGAAATAACTTCCAGAAATGGACCAGATAAAATCATACCACGTGAGTAAAGAAAATGCTTTGATTCAGCTAAAATCTTCAGTGCTCCCTGTGTTGCACTCATGCTGTCTTTACCAATTCCCTCTGTTTTCACTGACCACAACTTAGAGATGAATGAAAATTTTGGGTGCCATAACTTCTTTGAAAATATTAAATAAAGGGTTTCAGTTTGCTGTATTCTTGGCAGATGTTACTTACTGGGAGATCTTTTGCATGTTTACTGCTACAAGGTACCTGCACTGTAAGGCTTCCCCCAGGATGGATGGACTGTCTCATGCTCAACCCTGTAAATGTATGTTCTTAAGAGAGAACCTGGAATAGTAGCTCTAGCTCTTGAATATCTGTGTTGATTAGAATTAGCTAGATGAAAATAAGTTGAAGCAAAGAAATCGGGGTGCTTTTCCTTTTGATACTGGTTCAGCACTCTTATTTGCTGCTGTTCTCTTTATTTTTACAATTGTTACTCTGTGTTTCTCCTAGTGTCTTCCAGGTGGAGACATAGTTGTCAGCTATGTACTGCCTGGTTTTCGTTTATCTTGCCAAGGGTGCTTACACAAAGCGTGGCACTAAACAAACTAATTCTATACAAGCTAATCAGAACAGGTGAAGCAGTTGTGGCAGTGCATGGATTGTCACAGGTTAATGTGACCTGCAGCTAGGTTTGAGGTTCTCTGTGGTGGAGGCATCATGATCACTTCAACTTTTTTTGCAGTTTTCTTTAAGCTTTTGCTTTGATTATTTGACTCTTGTGTTCATACTTGTTAAATGTTTTGTTTTCCCCTTCTCTTAGAACTTCTCTTATGAGGTCTTGAATAAACGATTTTGCTGTTTCAGCTCATGTAATAGCTAAAGCCAAAGGTCTTGCAGTTTTGTCTGTTATCAAAGCTGGATTTTTGGTCACTGCTCGAGGTGGAAGTGGAATTGTATTAGCTCGTCTTCCTAATGGAAGTAAGTGGATATTTTCCTTTTGTACTTCATGAGAGAATTAAAAGAGATAAAAATACATTTTTTCATTATTCTTTCACAGCATAAAATGGGAGATGTGTGATGAGTCAGGCAAATAGGTGACTGTGTTTGGTGTGAAAGCTGTTTTCAAATCTTTGTACCTTTGTTTGACCAAATGTAAATGTTTTCAGTATCTTTGTGGAAAAGGATGAAATATAAAAGTACATAGTATAAAATTCATTAGAAAAATTGATTATATCTGATTATGAAGAAGTATATGATAAATAATTTGTAAGAAGGAATTGTTTAGATCATGAGGGTTTGTATTTCTTAAATCCTTTTCTGTAAGATGAAGCATTATAGTTATGATTCTATTGTAGCGTTTTGAACATAGTTTTAAATAAATAATTTGTTAGCATTTTTTTAACTGCAATAATAAAATGAGTATTGCTTGTAATATATGTAAATTTATCTTGTGTTACATGACAGCCTGGTCTGCTCCCTCTGCAATAGGAATTGCTGGTCTTGGTGGTGGATTTGAAATTGGAATTGAGGTATGGTTTTGCATTTGATATACTTGTTGGTAACTTTTTTTGCAAGAAATTAAAATACATTGGCAAAGATCTAAATGTTAGTGAGATAGTAGAATCTGCTTTTATGTACAAAAATATTATTATGAAATCCATTTATGCAAGACAAAAAAAAGAGGGATTTTGTTCCCATCAGTCAAATTGTTAGAAGACATTTAGATAAAAAGAAGTGACATGACACTAATTTCCTTGATTTCTCTCTGCTAGCTGAATTTTTCACTTATAAAGAGCCTCCTGTCAGTGTTCCCATATAAGACAATTAAAGTTAATTGAAAAGGCATCCTATACTTAATACTGTGTCAAATGCTTTACTAAAGGGCACAGGGACTCCATCTGGTGAGAAACAGTGTAAAGAACTTAAGTTGGAGTAAAATGGACTCCACTTAATGTTACTGTACTTAACACATTTCCCACTCACACTTGTGGTTCCTGACACGACCTTTCAGTTTGAAAGCACCAAAACTGGTGATGCTGCTTCTGAAGGAATACTGTAGAAAAGGAGCCAGTTCCAGCCAGCAGAAATACTTGAGTAAAGGACTCCCAACATATTTAGGGAAACCCTTGTGAGCTGAGCCCTGACAGCACTCTACCTCTGCTTCCCATTTCTTCTTCCTCATAGCTCCTTCACACTTGCATGTTTTCATCTTTCCTCTGCTTCCTCTCCCTAGCCTCCAGATTCAGCCTTCTCTTTGTTTAGCTTCTGTTCTGCTGATTCCCAAAGAAAGCAGAGTAACATTACGCTGCCAACAAGATCTCTTGCAATGGGCGTTCTGCTCTTCAGAAGAACCCACGTACAGCTGATCTTGGTGATCTATGCCAACCCCCAGTACATCTACAGCTAGCCAGCTGTCCCTATCCTGGCCAGTCAGCCAGCACTCACATATTGAGCAACAGATCAATATTTTATTCTCTACTCATTGTTCACTGTGTGATCTCAGGCATTATTGCATGCACTTTTTAAAGGATGATGTGAATACAAAATCATTAATTTTTATAACAGATTTTCATTGGTTTTCATGACTACAGGATGAATGCATTATAACGTTTGAGCCCCAGAGTTTGTTTTGTTGTGGGATTTGTTTGCTTTTTTTCTTTATTTTAAGCCTCTTTATGTGTCTTGATTAATCTATGAAAATTTTATTTTAATTATCCCCACCTGATATTTTAGATAATGTAGACATTTCCAATTGATACTGAATCAAATAATTTCAATATAGAAGCTGTTTGTGAGAGTAATTTTTTTCTGAGTAATACTGTGCCCTTCATTTGAAATTTTAGTCAGCTTACAAAATGCTGTTTCCTTACTGACATTATTATAATGCAATCTTTTTTATTTCTTCTAGAAAATATATGTTATTCAGAAATACCTGAGTGACTTAAGAGCCCAGAGTCCCATTTCAGCATTCTTCTAGTCCTATATAAACTTAGATGTTTTAGAAACTAGGTGAAATTTATTCCTGTAGGAGAGATGATAGTTGACATAGTTGTAGTGGTACTTATCGATGCTTTTAAGTAACAAGAAGGAGATTACAGGCTTCAGAAGTCACAATGACTTGGTATCTCAAATTAAAGACCAATTTTAAAATTCATATAAATGCTTTCCTTGAAGGTTTTCTCGCTATGGATTTGCTTTTCTTCAACAATGAATTCATCCTCTTACTGGGTAAGAGGAGGAAGCAGTATCCTGAAAGACATTCTTCGTCCATCCCTGGATAATTCACAAACTGCTCCTGTAGCTGTCTTTTTTGGGATGGGGTGGAGGTTTCCAGGGGGCTAATAACAAAGACTTCTCTTGTGCTCTGTGTAATACTTCTAGGCCAGCCTTGTTTTGCAAATAATCTGGTATTTCCTCTTGTATTCCCTGCTGTCACTGTTTGGAATGTGGGGTAAGTTGAAAGTTATTTTCTGAACCTGGCTTTCAGTCAAGTCCATCAGATGAAAGATCAGGTGCAGTAGTCCTTGGGTATATTGCTACCTCTTCAATTATTAGATTTAATAGGTTCTTGAAGCAACTAACTAAATCTCATATCCAAGTCTTAAAAAGTTAATAATTCATATACATGTACACAGATATATAAAACTCCTGTCATGAAAATGAAATTTTATCAATAGCACCTGTATCCTTTTTGCTTTTAATTCTTTGGACAGGAATTTTTCGTTTAGTAAGTTCTGTCTTGCCTTTATTAGTTTAATTATTAAAGGATCTAAATGATTCACATCTGAAAATGTGCCTTCATAATTGTTTGTATAAGCCATAGAAAATAAGAAATTCTCAATTAGGAATTTTGAATTAACATAGAGTTTCTCTTATATCTCTTGTTTATCACATACTGACCATATCAGCACTTTGAAAAAAATCAGTCAAATTTGATTAAAAAAGTAGTTGAAAGGATTTTTCATTCAAAATACCTTGCAGAAAAAGAATCAACTTTGTAATGAAAGCTGTTTCAAAATAATCCTTTACAAGAAAGGAAGATCATCTCCTGTGCTGTTCTTTCTTCTTAAAAAGTGTAGCACTTTTATCTGATATTTTACAGGTCTCAGACTTAGTGATAATACTGAATCATGAAAGAGCAGTAGAAGCTTTTGCCAAAGGAGGGAATCTTACACTTGGAGGAAATCTGACTGTGGCAATTGGACCTCTGGGGAGGTGGGTAATATGTTTTCCTAATAAAGCATATATGGAAGATAATTTTTAAAAGCCACATTGATGTGGAATTTTTTTTATATCTTACAGAACAACCTGGGCAACCTATATGCTGACTGGACCATTTTGTTCTTGCTAATCACTTTTTTGTTCTTTTTTTCTTCTTTCCTGACTAAGTAATTTATTAGTAGAAAGAAAGTGTTCTGAGATTTGCTCTCTTTTTGCAGGAGACTGCTTGGCTAGGCTCAATGAAGACCACAGGTGCTTCTGTGCCTGATAGATATGATTTTTAGTAACATATGAGTGTGTGCTTTCTGTTACCACAGATTTTCCCAACATTAAATAAATTTAAATAAAAACTACACCAAATAATTCCTTTTAAACCTTTAAGTGGTTAAGCCTGTTTACTTTGAAGGATGAGGTGAAATAATTTTACTTGAAAATGAGCCTTGCAAGACAGCTACTCCAACCTCCTGCTCCAAGCAAATTCTATTACGACTTCAGATCAGGTCACTCAGTCCTTTTTTCCAGTTGGATCTTGAAAATCCCCAATAAGGGAGACTGCTTGGTTCTCTGGGCAACCTGCTCTACTGTTCAGCTCTCCTGCCTGACATCCAGTCAAAGTATTTCTTCCTTCTATTTACGTCAACACTATTTTATTTTTCCTCTGTATGCTGCTATAAAGAGCCTGGCTTCATACTCTTGATTACCTCTACATAGATACTTGAAACCTGCTGCTAGGTTTGGGCCAAGTCTTCTGTTCTCCAGGCTTACCAAGCACAGCTGCCTTAGACTCTGCTTATGGAACATATGCCTCCTTATGGCTGTTTTTTTTATGATGATGAAGTTTTTAACTGCTGTTTTTTAATCTTTTCTAACAAAATAAAAGGATGATACTTACTGCACAGAAGAGGGAGAGATCTGTGGATCAGGGAAGGGCAGTGAATGTGCCCTACAGAGGCATTTAGTACACTGTCCTGCAACATCTCTGTGTTCAAGCTGGGACATAGTTGTCAGAATGGGGAGACGAGCAAACAGGCGAAGATCCCGATCATGATGTTAGAAGAGCAGTAGTAAATGGTTCATATTGAAGTCTGAAGCCAGATTTCTTTGGAATTCCACAGGAGACTCTTCTAGGACCTCTCCTGCTTGGTGTTTTTATCAATGACCTAGAGGAGCACTTGCAAAATATCCTCTTCAATTTGTGGATGACTCCAAACCAGAGGGTGCAGCCAATGCACTTCAGGGTAGGGCCACCATTAGAGAAAAATGGACTTACAGAGTGAAAAGATCCAACACAAAACCTCATGAAATTAAACAAGGACAAGTGTAAAGTTCTGCATTCCTAGTTGGGTGAACCCCCTACCAGACTGAGCAGCTTCCCTATAGAGAAGGTGCTGGGATCCTGGTGGGCAGTGGGGCTAAGCCAGCAGCTAAAAAAACACAGACAGAAAAAGCAGTGAACAGTGTTGGAGGTTGCACCAACAGGTCTGTAGCCAGTAGATATGGGAAGTGATTGTTCACCTTTACTTGAAGTTTCATAGACCATGACTAGAATATTGTGTTGAGTTTTAACCCTGCAGAAAGTTGTTTATAAACCTGAGTGTGTGCAGTGAACCACTACCTAAATGGCCAGGGAAGTGCAGCATGTGAACAACGAAGCTGGGGGAGCTCAGCTTATTGAACCTGAAAGAGAGAAGACCTTCTGAGTCTGCATTCCCAACAGAGCATCACCAAGACAGACCCCAGTTCTTTAGAGAGGTGCATGGCAAAACAATGAGAAGTAGTAGTCATATATCAAGACAAGGAAGATTCTGACTGGATATGAGAAAAAAAAAATTTACATGATTAAAATTAAGTGCTGATACAGGTTACTCAGAGTGTCTGTGGAATTATAAACCTAGAATTCTTCAAAAACTGGCTGGACAACATCCAGAGCAACCTGCTTTCAATTTGATATTATATCCCTTTTGAGATGACTGTCTTTTAACCTAAAATATTATATGATCCTGTGAAGGACAAATACTATAATCTTACAAATCTGTTGAGGTCCAGTAAGGCCTTACTCAGAGTGTTTTGTGCTGACCATAAAGTCTAGGAGGATTTGGAAATATTGAATAGAATTTCTGTCATCAGTCCGAACATAATCAGATCATTTTAAAATGTGATTAAAGTGTGGCTTAACAGTTTTCAAAGGAGGCTGTTAAGATCCAGTTATTAAAATTATTACAGAGATGCCTCTGCCCAAATAAGATGTGAGACTATATGCTGAAGTCAATAGTATGGATTTTATTTAACAGTAAATGTGAGTGGGGGAGAGAGAGAGAGAGAAAGAAATAGTAAAAGAGGAAGAGGGAGAGAGAAAGAGTGACAGAAGGACAGACTGAGGAGAACCCGTCAGTGCTCTGTTGATTCTCCTGATTTTCTTGGTGGTGAGGGTTCCACGAAGCTTAGATTATATGTATATGGATGTATATTCTATGGATATGTTCAGGCTAATTGGGAGCACCCAGGTACCTCCCCTGATTGGGAAGTTTGACACTCTCTCTTGCCACAGGCTCTGATCTGTTGCATCCCTTTGCATCACATTCAGTCCTTTGGTACAAGGCCACAGGAATCAGCCTGAGGCTGCTTTGGGGGTCTTTGATAGTTTATGATCGCTTCTCAGACATGACAGCTGCCTCTCTTGTCAGTACATTGAGTCAGTTATGCCTCATCAGACCTTCCCTGGGGAAGGGATTGGGAGTTGTCTAAGGGAGAACAATTACCTTTGTGCCATCCCGCCTTGCAGGATTTGCCTCATCAGCCCAAAAGCCTTGGCTTGCAGCCTCCCCCTCTGTCTTACGTGAATCTTGCACACCAAGCTCACCTCCCCTCAAAGGATGCAAACCTGGCCTCAGCAAATCATCCTGGAGCCTCCTTGATTGTTTTGAGTCAAAACTATGAAGAGTCCAGTCTCTCAGAGACCTAATGGGGAACATTCTTATGAGGCAGTGTTGTTCTGTGATTCTGTTTGAAAAAAAGGACAAAAAAAAAGGATTAAAAAAAGAAAAAGACAATTGCTGTTCATAGTACAAAACTGTATTGAAGAATATCAACCAAAACCTTTTCCTTCTAGAAATTTGGAAGGGGATGTTGCCCTGAGAAGCTCTGCTGCTGTCTATACATATTGCAAATCTCGAGGACTGTTTGCAGGCGTATCTCTGGAAGGAACCTGTTTAATTGAAAGGAAGGAAACAAATCGCAAGTAAGCTCTCTTAATATCAGAAAGGTTCAGTGAAAGCATGGTGACAGAATTAACTAAGATACATTCACTTTGGAAAAAGAGGTTTTTTTGAAAACATACTATGTTCAGTTAAGAATTTTTTGAGGGACAAGGGTTTCTTCAATTTAGACATCTTGCAATGGGTATTGAGATGATGCTAAATGTTTAGGGATTATTTATCTGTGGCAGGTTGATCTAAACTAGGCACCACATGCCAGACCAGTTGCTTTGTCACTCCCCTTCCTCAACAGAGGAGAAAAAGAGAGGAGAAAAAATATGATGACAAACTCATAAGTTGAGATAAAGGCACTTACCAATTGGTATTTCAGTCAAAAAAACTCCACCCTCATCAAGGGGAAATGATTTTATTTTCAGTTAATAAGAGAATAGGATAATGAGAAATAATAATAAATCTTGAAAGCAACACCTTTCCCCCACACACTTTCCAACTTACTGGGCATTTCAATCACAGCTTCTCTACATCCTCCTTCCAAGTGGTTCAGGAAAATGGGCGCTGTGCTCAGTTTTTGAAATCTATAGCTTTGAAATAGTTCTATCATTTCTCAGTATATGACCAGTAGGGAAAATGCAGGGCTAGAGGTGGATATAGGGAGCATTTACACAAAGTGTATTTATCTAGAAGTTGAAGTGTAATAATCAAATACCTGAAATCTTTTTTCTTCTTTTTTTTTTTTTATCAGGTTTTATGGGCAAGACATTCGTGCTAGTGCCATCCTGCTTGGTGACGTGCCTGTCCCTGCTCAAGCAGATGATCTTTATGAAACCCTAGCATCCTTCACTGAAGTGTATGAAAATGAAGAACAAAAAAACAATGCAGGAAAATGTGTAAGGGAACAAAGAAGGGTTTGTGCACTTCTTTTTCATATAGGCTTGCCCTGTTCCTGAGCTGTTCCTAGTCAGTGTTAATGATGATGTTCATGTGTCATTTTTAACTTCTGTATTGGATGACCGAAGGCATAACACATGTCAGTTACTGCATGTGGAACATTTGTTCAAGTATTTCCCTGCTAGGCTCTTGGGGGCAAGAATGTTGCTGGGTTTGCTTTGCAATTTCCAGAATAACAAAGTATATCTTTGTTTTGTAATTGTGTATTATCAAATCTGAAGTGGTGATTAGGAATGTTTGATCAAGTATTTTTAGTCAAGTTAATTGCAAATTGGATACTCTTAGCTTTCCTACCTTTTCTATTTTCCATTCAGGCAGTCACATTTATAGTGTAATATTGGGACTGTAGAAGAAATTTTCTTACAGATATTGATATTATTGATAGACAAGCATTTACTTTCAGCTTTGTTAAACCCATGGTGATTTACTTCAGTGTCATGTGTATGTCACTAGTATTTAGTATGCTTCTTGAGTTCCTACAGGTTTAGTGGAGAAAGAGTAATTTTAATTTTTTTTCAGTGTAACTTGATATGCTTCTAGGCTCTGAAGTCACAATCTATGTCTAGATGTGATTCTATGTTTTTTAAAAAATTGTGTACTTTAGGTAAATGACCGACCTGATAGACCATCATCCAGACCAGAGCCACCTAAACCCACTGTTAGACCTACACCACCAGGTGAAAAATTTTCATAATGACTAATTAATTATCTTCATAAAATTAGGGCATTAAAGCTAATTAATACTATGCAGGTATTATAGCAGCTGCCTCTACAAAAACATTTTTTAAATATCGTTCCTTGGACAAACACTGAAAGCATGTTGATATAGGGCCATGAGTGATAAAGACTAAAGCATTTGTTTGTTTTATATTAACAAACCTTTTCTCTCTGACAGATAGAAACAGTGTTTTTATAGTTACAGAATCATGTAATAATTCAAAGGAAATATTTGTGTTACTGGATACATGGAAACCCCATAGTACAATGAAACTTCTTAGTAAAAAGAACAGTCCTACTAGAAATTGCTGGTCCTAGTTCTAGAAATTTCTGGTTTCTAGAAATCATAGCTTCTCTTTAGGTTGTCATTATCCTTTAATCATTAGAGGTTTTACAGTAGAGCACAAGAGGCAGAATTTTGTCTCTTTAACAGTTTGTCTTAACAAAGTGCTTTCATTCGAAGTGAGGCTTTACTGTGCAGCTCCTCTTGTTAACTTAATTCTCTCGTTAAGGGTATGAGGCAAAGTCTGTATTTCTTTCTTCTGCACTGCTCCTTAGTTAACTGCAATCATTTAATAACTATTGAACTTGTATTAGAAGAGCAGTATAGGAAATAATATATGTTAGCATGTGATATAAGTTGCTACTTTATTTTCTCTTTCAGCTAAAAAGAATACGAACAAACTTTATCCTGAACTTCCCAATGATTACGCATCTGTGGGTAAGTACTAAGCTTACACTTATTTTATTAATTCAGTGTAGAATCTGAGAAGTTCTAAAAGTACTTTGAAAGATATGTAAAAATATCTGGCCATTGATATTTTCCTTTATTGTCCATGTGTTAAAATGAGATTTAGGTCTTGTATGATCTCCTGAAAATATTTCATAAACATTAATCTTATTCCCTGGCTTTACATTCTAATGATGATGTTCTTTTTCTGAGCAGCACAAGTTCTTCTGTTTTATCCTGTATGCTTGAAAAATGCACTTGAAGTGGTAAAATTGTTTTATGTTACCACCTAATTGAAATGAAAAAGAAAGGTGATATAACAAGTTTCTGTCCAGGTCCTTATGCAATGTATAATAATTCCCATTTTAATTTTAAAAGTGCTTCCACAGATGATACCTGATTATGCTGGAATAAACACAGATTTACATTGCTTCTTCATGATTTTATAACACTGTGTTACACTAAAGATATTACTTGTTTATTGTGCTATTGATTCTCTTATGTTTAAAGCACTTTCAGCTCTTAACTCTTACTGTGCAATATTTGTGCCATATTTTATATATATATATATGTATTTACATTTTTATGTATTGCATGGTCACTTGAAAATAAAATTAAACAAAATATCTCTTTTTTACTTCTGCAAATAGATCTAAAATTGAACTTGATAATAGATCACAATGAAAAGTCTGTCTCAGGCAGAGCAATTAGAGCTTTTCACTAAAAATTAAGATAAATTATGTGTCATTGTCTTTCCATTCTTTTTCATGTCTTTTCTTCATACACGTTTTTGATATGTGTGTCTCTTGAAGGGACCAACATAGGAGTATCCTAAGTTGAGCTGTCAATGTGACTTCTGCAGATCAGAGACTTCCCAAGAATCCAGATTTGTTACTGTGTTGTAGGACTTTTACAAGGAAAAGAAGGATGACTCTAGTGGTCTGTACTCAATAGCTGTCACCCAGGAGAGAAGAACTGGTCTTCTGGCCATTAAAACTAAACTTTCCCAGTCTTACCAAAGCCCTGACCAACTGAGAACAGATTTCTAAAGCTTGCACACATTTGGTATATTGAAGGGAGTGTTCTTCTATTCATGTGCAAGTGACAAGGTAAAAATATTCCAGAGCCATCTGCTGAATGGCTTTCAAGATTCTTTGAAATCAAAATACAGACTCAGTCTGCTACTGGGGATTTCTAGCAATTTCTCAAAATGCACAAGTTTATTTTTGGGGAATGTGAGGGGCAGTAGGATCTTGTCTAAATGATGGCATGATATATTTGGCTTTCTGTTGCAGATTACGTTTCCACAGGTAACAGTTCAAATGCTTTCTGAATCCACAGAAATACTCTTAATGTTTCTAAAGGTTTTTTCTTATGGCAGGGGGCAATCAAGATTGAAGTCAAGAGTCACAGTCCTTTCACAGAGGATGCGTTAATGCTGAGGGATGAGATAGAAAGAGCCATAAGGCCATACCTCCTGTCAATAATCTGTTTCTGCCTACTTATAGTCCAAATTATTTCAACAGAGCTACCTAGCAGCTATAGCACATACATATCAATCTTTATTGCAGGAGTAGTTGCTGCAACAGATGTTCTTCTACAATGATCTGTAAAAGACATATCCAAAATTTTTTGTGTGTTTCTAGTTTAAAAAATACATTTAGATAACCAATAGATGAGTGAAGGAATCTTATCTTAAGGAAGCTATGTGTTAGATATAATGGCTGGTGTGGAGGTAGGTTTTGATGTTGAGCAACAAGCTGGTCTGGGTTGCAAGTAATAAGAATTTGCCTTTGACTGGGGAAGGGGCAACTTGGCATTGTGTTACCAGCATTTGGTTTTGCAACAGTTATACAAGTAGTAGAAAGGTTGAAATATTAACTGTTCTCATTAGATGAAAGAAGAGCTACACTTGCGGATGAAACACTTTTAATTATTTTCTGTGTACTTGAATTATACAGATAAGTAATGTAATATAACCTATTTCAAATGCAAGAAGAAGGACAAATGAAAAAACATGATTTTCTAAACTGATAATGTGGTACTTGAACTCAGATGCAAGGAGACTGTTTTCATGTAACTGAATAATGCTTAAGGTAATGCATTTAGTTGTAAAATGAGCTTCAGTAGTATTCTAAATGTTTTCAGAAACTTGGGAATACCACACATTTTATTTAGGTGCAGTTTAAAAGTTACACAGACCTTTTTCAATTCTGGGAAATAAGACACCAAAACAACCAGAACAAAACTGAAACTAACAGCTGACACAGTTATTGTAATTCAGTGAAGTATGAAGTAGCTAAACTAGTAGACATTTTTCTGAAGACTCATTAAATACAGAATTTTGATTTGCTTATGAGTATGAAAGTTCATGCCTTCTCCTTTACTAGAATTAGGAATTTGCATCTTTGTTTTTCTACTTGTCCCCTCTTTGTTGTAAAATCTACTAAAAGGGCTGACTGGCCCTTCCAAGATTTATTACCACAACCTAGCTTTTCTTTTTCTGGATGGATGATTCTTTGAACTTCTGTACCACATCTATAATACAAACAACCCATAATTCTTTAGTGACTGCTTGGACATTTTAGATTCAGGAGTTCAGTTCATTAGGCGTATTTTTTTTAGATACATCAAGTTCACATTTTGTCACACTGGTATATCTAATCCTAGATTTCAGATTCTCATTAGTATTATGATTTGTAGTTTTTTCTGCTTGTGGTTCTATCATGAAGTAGCAAATAACTGAAAATGTAGCTAAACGGTTACTTACCTGCCCACTCTCCTAACAGTTTGATGAATAGTACACAATTCTGAAAATGTTATAGTGATGTGGTTTCCCAGCTGAACTGGTAGCAGCAGGAGTAATGATCTGCTAGTAAAAGTTGGACCTGGGTTGAGGTAAACGTTTGTGAACTGAATCAATAACAGGCAGTTTGTTCAAATCAGAAGTCAGATATTTTTTCACTTTTTCTTCAGCTCAGCTTATCAGAAAAAGACTGTTTCACATGTTTGGAAAAGAATTAATTAAAATTGCCAAGATGCTGAAACAGTCAGGAAACAGACTTGAGACCAGAGTGGGATGAAAAATGGAATTAATTTCTTCCTTCCAAGCAGTGTTCTTTCACTATTCATTCACAATTATCAAATCTCACCTTGAGCTTAAATTCTTACCATACTCTAGGACAAACTACTCACATTAAACACAAAATTTTTGATAACAAAGTAAGTGTTTTATGATAATTTGGAGAAAGTAATGATGTTGTCTGCATTTTTAAGGGGTCATATGATTTGCTTAAGAACCCCATAGGAACGTGTGGCTGTGAAGCCTGAATATATAAGGATTTTTTTATTGCACTCAGAAACACTGTCTTTCTTACCTTCCATGTTTAAACTAAATATTTTAAAATTTTATCTTGAGAAAAATATTTGCTTTCTTTTTTGGATTTTTGAATACAATAAATTACCTGCAGCCATTGAACTTTTTAACTATTGAACATAAAATCAACACACCCCAACAAGATTACAGTAAAACTAAAAAAAAACATAATAGGAATTTTGACTAGATTTTTTTCAGCAGAAACCCTTAGCTTCAAAAATAAAATAAAAATATTAACAGATTTTTATTGTCCCAATAGGCATATTTTTGTATTCTTGCATACTGAAAGAAGTGCTATATCAAGCCTACTGATGAGGATATGGAGGCAGATGAGAAAATTGTCACTGTTTTTAAGAAGCTAAAAAAAAAAACCCTTCTTCCTTCAATGATGACTTGAGTGATTTGTCAACCTCATTATTAAAAATTCATGCCTTCCTACATGAATTTGTCTGCAGCTTTTAGACAGTATTTGTTGTGGCTTTCTTCACTATGTTAAAGAACCCTTTGCTACGCAGAGGAGCATTTTTTTTGTTCCCCTCTGGTTCTCTTTGAGACACTTGTGCTGTAATCACTTTTTGGTCTTCCTTCAATTTTCTTTTGATTGCCAAACAGATTGATGAGCTCTTTCTCAAAAGTCATTTTCTCTTTCCTCTCAAATTTTAAGTAATAATACAAATACCAAATTCTGAGCTGTGAGGTCAATGAGATCAGTAAGGTTTGGGCTCCTAAAAGCTCTAATGAATTTGCACTAAACTCTAGTCCTTATATTTTCTATTATTTATTTAATTATCTTAACCTTCTTGAGTGTCCCTTATCTATGTTTAAAACAACTGAGGCAATATAAACTCTTTTTGATTAGGTGGTACCACGAGGTGGTAAATTCAGTTTGTGTTAACTAAATGCATCAGAGATGCTGCTTTTCATGGTTACAGTTCTCCAGGAATCAGGCCTGGCCTACTTCTCTATAATTTCAGAGATGATCTCAGTGTTTCTTCCAGTAATCTATGAATGCCAGATGGTTCAGTAGATCTGTGAAAATCTGCTTCCCAAGAGAATTCCAAGACAGATTTTCATGCCTCCTGAAGTGTATTTTGTCAAGGAAAATGAGGGTCTGTATGTGAATTTGCCTTTGTTAGTACATTATGGATTTTTTTGTGGCCAGTTACAAATGTGTTAACTAAGCCAACGTAATTATATGGATTAAGAATTTATAGACCTCTTCTGGGGTAAAAAGTGTTAAATTTTTTTTTTGCTTCTGATTTCACCCCCCATTTCATTTATTTTACTCACATACCTGTTCTGAAGTTCAGTTTACATCTGACTTGTTCTCTTGTTATTTTGAAAGCTACTGCTCTCTAGGACAATATTGATCAAACTTAGAAAAGAAAATATAAGCTGGAACATGGGCACCACTCTAGCAGTCTCTGCATTAATTAGAACTTCTACTTACATGTGGTGCTGGGCCTTTTTAACACAGTATAATGAAGAATGGAATTTTTAGTTAGAACTGCTGAAAGAAAGCATCACTCTATGTGCTTACAACTTTAAAATAGGATTGCTTTGGTAAATATGTATTGAAGCAATCACTTTACTTTTGAATATATGTATTTCTCAA